TAATAATGGTGATCAAGAGTAACAACGCGTCTAATCCGCGGCTGATGCCACGGGACCGGAGAGCCATCCTTCAGCGGGCCGCGCCCCGCAAACTTGACCCCGACGCCGAACCCGGCGAGCTAATTACTCGCGAGTAAGCTTAATTAATGCCCGATGAATGAAAGCGGGCGATAAGGCGCCGTCAGGAAACCGTCGCGCTGACATTTTTCTTCGAGGATAATTTAAACAACTGCGGCGAATTTGCGACCATTACCGCCTCTACATTCTTCTTCCTCTTCTTAATCTCTTCTCTTCTCATCCGGCAGTCGTCGTACGGCAGCCGACATCGAGGCTGGACCAGGCTGCTTCCACCCACACTCGCCCCTCTCTCCGATCACGCTCACCGCTTCCTCCGCAGCTTAGCACTTTACGGCCCTTTGTCAATCCACTGCCAGGTGAAGGCCTCCCTTCGCCGATGTTGGGCCGTGTGGGGGTTGCTTGACCATACTTCGCCACGCTGATCAATCCGAGTTGCTGAGAGGGGGGAGTGGGGTAGGGGGGGGGTGGGGGCTGGACCGGTTTTGTATCGCTTGCCACCGATGTTAGCCGTGGCCAGGAATCAAACTCATTCGCGGGGGTGAGATAATAAGAAATGTACGACAATTATTATTTTTTGTCCAGGAAAGCCTCACCCAGGAGTTTTCAGAGAAAATTTTAAGGAGGGTCCTTCCTGAAGATGTCTCGAGTATTTGACATGGATTGTGGCTTCGCAAGTCCACGAGGGATGGAGACTTCATGGGGAGGCCTTCATCCAACAGTGGATAGATCACGGCTGATGATTATTATTATTCAGCAAATCTTACAGATGCGGGGAGTCTCCTGCTTCGGCAGGACATGTTGCAAGAAGAGATCATGGCTGAAGGTCAAGAATAAATGAGATGCAGTGGTTGAAGATGCTCTCCTTTAGCTGCCACTCCGTGTGTCATCTCGACCGCTGGTCATCACCCATCCCTTATAGCGGCGTGCCCTGCCCCGAGCAAACTTATATTCCTTAATAATCAATATGACGTCTCTATCTTGTGTTCTCGGATCCACGTGTCCGTTTCAGTGTATGTGTGAGACTCAGCCTCACGATTAGCACGGTTGGCTACGTACGGTGCGAAAAAAGTTAAAAGCACAAACATACAAATGAGTACACGCTGCAGTGTGTAGTAAACATCGCCACTAAGGGGGACAACGGCGGCCACACGTGCTGCTGGCCACCCACCCCCTCGTGTGTTGGGGCGGCCTTCACAGGTGCTCGCTGACAACACTTGCCCCAACAGTCTGTTAGGGCTACAAGGGGAATCTTTGGATTTTGTGTGTGAATGTGTCTCCGCGCACATATGAATCTAACTCATCTCGCAGACAGCCGGCAGGATCCACGGCACATTACGTCCCCATGCAATTCCCACGGTGACATCAATCCTATAAAAATATCGGAGTTGCCCGGGCAACATTAAATGACTCTGGGACTTAACGGCGCACGATCGCACTCAGCCACGTGACACGTTATTAATAAGTCTGCTGCAGCCGGGACACCGGCAAGAGGAGGCCAGGTTCCCAAAGTCACGAAGCGCTGACAAACGCCAGAGAACGCCGACGGCGGACAGGGCTCACGGTGACACCCAGCCGATTCCGTCGCTGGCCGTAAGACGCAGGTTCCGTGTTGCTGAAGCAAGGATGACGGACCGTTTCTATCCTGAAGGCTGAACCGGACTTTTAAAAGAACCTTCGGTGGGCAACCACACGTTAAAACACACACACACACACACCTACACGTCTGTCACTTCTGCCACTATCAAAGGCGCTTGCAGTGACAGGCAGTGGCCGGGCGGTTCTAAGACCAGAAGCTGCAGTGTCGATGCCGGGTCATACGTATTCCACTCTCGTGCCCGATTAGTGAGGCTCAGGTGCTTGCAGTGAGGGTCAAACAGCATCGCGGCTTGCGGGCACTGGCCAACGTGGAAAGCGGTAGGCCCGACCGCATAAGGACAACGGGGCCGTCGGACTCGTTGCGCGCAAAAGTGCCGCAAACGAACGACGACACCTAGCTGGCCTTTCGGCTCGCCATCGAACAAGAAACGGTCACCGCGTCGCGCATTGGACTCCCCCGGCGTCCAAGCCATCTCCCACGCTCCGCCGACGCGACGCTCAATCCAATCCGTACGCCGGCGCACCGCATCCGCTCTCGCCGCTCCATCTCCGGTGCACGTTCGCTCCATCGATATCCAACGGAGCGATGATTGTGTTTCCCCCCCCCCGCCAACCCCGCGGGCGCTCCGCCTCAGCTGTCAGTGTGCGCTCGGCGAGCTCGTTAATTGCGAAGCGCGCAAACAATTAGGGCCTCGTTAGCAAGCGGGTGGCGGGGGGGGGGCGAGGGGGGGGGGGCGCGGCTTCATTGAAGCGGATCAGCGTCTCCGGTTCACGCGTGGCCTAGCACATTGGGGTTTACTGCATGTCCGGCTTCAACCCGAGGGCGGCCGGCAAATTCGGCTTCCATGTTCGGGTGGCAGCGGGGGATTGATTTGTAACCGAGATCGGTGCTTGCACACCACAGCCAAGGCAGCAGCAGCAGCATCACCAAATAATTTATATCGCTGGGTGTTGCGGTGGCACGGTGGTTAGCCTGCTGCTCCATGAACCCAGCCACCTGGGTTCGATTCCCGACCGCGGCTAACGTCGGTGTGCGATTGAGAAACCGAACCACCCCTCGATCCCAGCGCTCAAACAATTTCCCCCGCGATTGAGAGCGCGTGGGGGGGGGGGGGATGGGGGGGAGGCCTTCATCCAGAAGTGGACTGACGAAGGTCCGAAACGGTTTCCACATCGCGGGCGATTCTGCCCGGCGAATGACGTTCGCGCGGCGAGATTCGAACCCGGGCAGCTCGTTCGCGAGTCTCTCTGAAGCCAAGCGCGCGTATTCGGTGAGCGGGTCCTCCCAAGATGTATGACAAGCTTTTATCAAAAAATATGTATTCATCATCGATTTGGGAGCCATAAATAATTGAGTGGCGGCACGCGCAGGAATTGACAAGGAGTTTAGAGGGGGCCGCGGGAGGCTAATGAAATGCTGATGGCCACGTGGAATGAGTCGGTGGCATTAAATTGACTCATGGCTCCCAGCGAGCTGCCACGACCTAACCCCCCCCCCCCCGTTCCCATCTCCCTCCTCCCCCACACGAGCCTACCCCTAATACCCCACCGTGCCCCCCCCCCCACACCATTGCCCATCCCTTGCCAGGCCCCGCTGTTTCACCTGCTCAGCTCCTGAGCTCCGCTTGAATTAGTTCCACAGGCAGACCTGGGAGTCACGTGCAGTAGTCAACTCTGTAGCTCGCAACGATTGGAATGAACCGCGGTCACAACGCGGTTTGTGAATGTAAACTCGGCTAACAATTCTGCTCTAATTGTGATTGACGAAAGGTCTCGAATATATTATGCAGGTGTAATCATGCAGACGCATACATACATACAGGTGTGTGTGTGTGTGTATATATCACAATGCGATTGTGATCTCAACTAACAATGCCGCTAAAATTGCAATTGACCAAAGGTCTTTGATTCACACATGTGTAATCATGCAGACGTATGCATAAAGACAGGTGTGTGTATATACACAAAAAGTGCTGAAAAAATGTTAACACTTATATGGGACTATCGTTTTTAATGATCAAAGAACAGATAATGATACACTGTAAGATGATAACAAATGTATATTAATAGCTTCAAAAAGTCACCGAGTCTCCACTTGTTCGCCATCATTGTCAACACGTGGCCTGGAATCTTCTCCAGGTGGTATTGTTGCAAATTCTCAAAAGTTTGAACATCTTTTTGAAGCACCCTGTATATACATACACACACATTGCTGTGTGTGTATGTATATACAAACACACACATAGCTGTGTCTATGATTTATATGTAGGGGGCCGTTTATAGGGAGGTGCGGGGCCTGGGGCAAACCCCACCGCGGTGAGCCCCCAACGCCTTGAAACTAAACCGGAAGTATTACCTCTGACGTCCAAGCGCGGCACCCCCCAAAGTGCAGGGCCCGGGGCGGTCGCCCCGATTCGCCGTACCACCCCCCCCCCCCCCCCCCGGTATAGCCTTAACAGACTGTTGGGGCAAGTGCTGTTAGCAAGTAGCAGCTATAAAGGCCAGAGCGGCACACGAGAGGGTCGGTGGTCAACACCACGCCCGGCCGCCTTTGTCTCCGGAGTGGCGATGTTTACACATCGCGCCTAGGTACTAATTTCAGGCTGAGTCGACCTAGGGGAGGCACAGGACCGGTTCAGATAATCGTCACCGGTGTCGGCCGTGAGTGGGAATCGAACTCGGGCCGCCGGGTTCGTAGCGCAGCGTAGCGCTAACCATTGCGCGACCGCTCCCCACACACGCATCCAGTGTCTCACCCACTTCTCATGATCAACCGCCGTGGCCCTGTCACCCGAACGTTCGGAAAGTCGAAGCTTCGCTCGGCCGCTTAGCAGTCTAAAAAAAAAAAGACGTGCGAAGAGCGTTCGAAAAGGTCGCCTCCGATTTGAGTTTCAAGGTCCAGATCGACGTTGCCGTTGCCAAAGCCGTTGATCGCCACCGGTAGTGGATCGCACTTTGTTTGCCTTGTCCAACTGCGCCGCCGCGCAGTTGGACAAGGCAAACAAACCTTCGAGAATCGTCCCCTGACAGTGTCCCGGCATCTGACCCTCCGAGTTCTTCCCCGCCCGATCACCTGGACACACGCGGACCCCACGCCGCCCGCGACTGTCGCTCGGGCGGACGCGGCCGCGTCGATCAGGACCACTCGTTGAGACGTCGCACGGAGGCCCCGGCCGCTATCTGGCACGCGGCAAAAGAGCACGCGGCAAAAGAGCAAACCGCAAAACTTGTGAACCGGCATGAAATTTGAAAGTAATTTCTTTCCCCCCCCCCCACCCCCCCCCCCCCGCTGGGACATGCTGTGGCGTGTTCCCGAACGGCGACAGCAATCCGTGAGAACGTCGTTTCTTCGTTTCGCTATCGCGTTTCGGGGAGTTGGGCAGCGGCGCAAGTGGGACAGCGCGCTGCGCGGCGAACCCGGTGACGCTCGCCAGCAAGAGACGAGTTGACCGCTGAACCGGCCCCTGGGTCTTTCCCCCTATCACCAGCACGGTGAAGTATGGTCAAACAACCCACACAACTAGCACGGTGAGGCAAGACCTTCATCCAGCGGTGGATTCTTGCACACATTAAAAAAAAAATGTTTTTAATGCAAATGACAAATTACGAAGAGAAAAATTATCATCAGCTCCTTATCCCGTAACTTGTTAAACGTATTATTCCAAAAGTGCGTGTGCGTGTGTGTGTTTTCTCCCAGAAGCCCAACACTTTCATGAATACATTTTTAATGCCTAATTTGTGGTTCAGCTACTTGGACTGTGACTCTCTCAGCTGGATGAAATCAAATTAAATTACGACAATTTGGCTCTCAAATCATGCACGCTGCGTCAATTGGACACCGTGCCGTCTCACATGAGCAAGCGCGTGTTCTACTGCTCAGAAGCAGCGGCAGGCACGAGCAAACTAAGCTAGAGCGGAGGACCCCTTCATCCGCTCGAATCGGCTCTGGATATCTAAAAAATATATAAAAGGGACGCATCAAATATCAGCTCGACTTCAGACCCTTACGCAGCATGACGAGCTAGTTATCGTCATCTCTTCCTTCTCTCAATATCTCAACTCTCGTTTAATTACATTTCATCCACATTTTTTCCCCTTATCTCATGGCATCTGATATCTCTTGCAAATTAAACAGATCGTGTATATAAACACATTTTTTAATTATATTTTCCAGAGAGTGATTCGGTGGCACGGAACACAGACGAGAGGGGAAAGCGGCCAACAATTGCCCGAGCTCTGTGGTCCTGCACTGTGATGCTTTATCCAACTCCATCGATGAGGGTTTATTGACGTGGGAGGAAACCGAAGTACACGAAGAAAACCAGCGCATGCGAGGGGATAGAAACATATCTCTTCTGGCACCTCACTAAGATTTTATTAATTGAAGGTGAGTGGAAGGAGGTTGGCGGGGGGAGGGGGGGGGTGCCCGGGCAAAAAAACATGCCTGCTTATTGCTCCCATTGAGCTCGATCCACCTCTACTCACACTCGACAGGCATCATATAGTTTCGCAAATACTGTATGATCTCAGGCGGTACGGATAGCGGCAAGAGGAAACGTTAAATTAAACCAAAGCTCATCCACCACCTTCAAATGTGCGCGCTCGCGATAAACCCGACACCAAGCCGCTTTTCATGCCATTACCAAATTATCCTCACGACCCCAACGAAAGCCTCGGCGGGCACGTGTCCCGTCGTCGCTTCTCTCGCCGTGATGCCGATTATCCGAGCGGAGGGCTTCAACCGCCGGGGCCACCGCCCCCTGCACCTCCACACTGTTCAGGACCACCCCCCCACCCCTGCTCCACTTCATTACTATTTTACCCAAAATAAATATTTTAAAAAATATTTTACATTTTACCAGATAAAGCCAACTGTGCTATGTAGCTCTTTTTTGCGCAAGCGACCTGGCTAACACAAATGGGTACTGGTTTTATCGAGCAGGTATATTGACATTTGACATCATACCTGATACTCAAAGTATTCTTCATATTGGATCATCTTTACGGAAGCAATATCCCCCCCGCCCTCCCCCGTTACGGATTGCTAGAGCTAATGAATAAACGGGGTCAACATTTGTGAGAAAGCGTGAACAGTTTTACCATTTCACTTACCAGGGCCAGCCCACTGAGCTATGAACTAATCTTTCAGAAGCGACCTGGCCACAAATGATAGCTCAACCAAGTGGCGTATCATCACGTGGAAGTTGATACCGATCAAATAATCTGAACGCGTGATGTCGATTCTAAATGTGGAGGGGAACACCCAGGGGACTCGGATAAAAATCCACGCGACCACGGGGAGAGAAACACGCAAACTCTAAACAAACAACAGGCGTCAGGGTCGAGATGGAACCCACGACCACCTCTACACCAGGCGAGGTAGTTAACATCTACGCCACTGTGACGAGATGTTTTCCAGGAACAACAAAAAACTGCGGGATCATCGCAATTGAGAGCCTCGGCTCGCGACGCTTCAGAGCGAGAGGGGGAGAGAGGGAGGGAGAGGGAGGAAGAAGCGCAAACGCAAACTTTTAAGGCGCCAACTTAAAGGAGCCCCAATTATTGAAATGGCCATTTAAGTAGGGACTGAATGACCGCCCGCTCGCAAAACGTGCGAGGGGATTAGCATTGTGTTTTTTTTCCACCCCCGCCCACCCCCTTCACCCCCCCTTGAACTTTTCAATAAAAAGAGTACTCGCAGAAAATGCGCAAATGAGACTGGTGAGAGAGTGGTGATTTGGAGTGAACGGAATGCTCAACTTGGCGGTAATCGGCTCAGCTGCCAAAAGTACCGCGAACTCCAATATTTCCACACTTTTAGTAAGTTGTATAATTTCCTTGTGTTATTACAATGTGCGGGCAAGGAGGGCTTCACCCAGCAGTGGGTGGAAATTGACCGATGATGATGGTGACAATATTATGCAAACATTTAAGAGGAACGCGTGGAGTAGAGAACACACGCACGTGAGAGACAGCATTGCGTTGCGAGAAGGGACGATGACAAGTGGTGGAGACTAACCACAGAGTGACTGCCTAAGGAGGGAACCTTCATGAGAGGTGGGCGTCCACCGCGGAGATGGAGTGATGAAATGAACTCGTGTGCAGGAGATCGATGGATCGTGAAATCGTGCGACCATGAGACAGCGACAGCTTTGGGAGGCCTTCATCCGACAGTGGATAGATCACGGCTGATGATGATGATGATTACAATACTACGTGACAAGGTACATCACATTTATGCCGATTGTACCAGGCTAGTAACGTTCAGACCGGCAAACACCACCACCGACTTCCTCTCCCCGCCCATCCCACCGCCCGATCACCTGCCCCACCTACCCCACCTGCCCCACCTGCCCCACCTGCCCCACCTGCCCCAACTGCCTCACCTGCCCCACCTGCCCCACCTACCCCACCTGCCCCACCTGCCCCACCTGCCCCAACTGCCTCACCTGTCCCACCTGCCCCACCTACCCCACCTGCCCCACCTGCCCCACCTGCCCCAACTGCCTCACCTGCCCCACCTGCCCCACCTACCCCACCTGCCCCACCTGCCCCACCTGCCCCACCTGCCCCACCTGCCCCACCTGCCCCACCTGCCCCACCTGCCCTACCTACCCAACCTGCCCCACCTGCCCGCCCATCTGGCCTAAACTGCACAACCCACTGCACCACGCACCGCACCACGCACAGCACCAGGCAGCATGCGTCCGTTTGCAGGCAATCTGGTGGAGGGCTCGTAATCCTCTACGCCGCATCCCAGGCCGATCCCGCGGTAATCCCCGGTGACCACGGGGCCGTGGCAACGTCAGATCACACCGCTCCCCCCCCCCTACCGACAGCAGGCGTGGGTAAGCTCCGAGTGGCGCTGGGCCTGGGTCAGTTTTAATACCGTTAAGGAAAATAGCGGCAACAAATATTTGTGAGCGAGGGGTTTGATTCGTATTGTTTTGTACCGGTTCATTGATGACCGAGTGGTTGAATGTCACCGAGCGTGATGATGTCCAAGGAATAAAGAGCGACTGGCTGTGACGAGATGAATGAAGACGCAGGCTGGGATCACTTAGTTATGTTATCAGGCACTGCAGTGCACCGAGACAAGCCAATCCATGGCATTCGGTTATTTATGTGTAGTGACATAGAAGCGGTCACATAGCAGCATAGCGCTGGCTGCTGTCAGGGAAGGGGAACTGCAGCTTACAGCAGCCCTGTCTGACAGCAGGTCATGTGATAGACCAGAAAGGGATCTAGGGGAAAGATTACGGAATTGGTACATTGAGAACCCGTGAGTAGGTTCCAGAAGGGGCACGTGGCCGGGGCGAAGCTAGGCAACGCCCCCCAGTATAAGAGGGGCCCCGGGAGGGGACTTTGGGGCTGTCGTTTGGAGTGGGATCCCCATCGTCGTTGCTGTTGAAGATCGTCGCCATCGTCTCTGTCGTCTTAACTTGATATTGCGATACTGTCTCGGTGCAGCGCCGTCAGTGTCATATGGCTAGTGTTGTGGATAGGTTAGCAACGTACAGTGAGGGAAAAAAAGCATTTGATCCCCTGCTGATTTTGTACGTTTGCCCACTGACAAAGAAATGATCAGTCTATAATTTTAATGGTAGCTTCATTTGAACAGTGAGAGACAGAATAACAACAACAAAATCCAGAAAAACGCATGTCAAAAATGTTATGAATTGATTTGCATTTTAATGAGGGAAATAAGTATTTGACCCCTCTGCAAAACATGACTTAGTACTTGGTGGCAAAACCCTTGTTGGCAATCACAGAGGTCAGACGTTTCTTGTAGTTGGGCACCAGATTTGCACACATCTCAGGAGGGATTTTGTCCCACTCCGCTTAGCAGATCTTCTCCAAGTCATTAAGGTTTCGAGGCTGACGTTTGGCAACTCGAACCTTCAGCTCCCTCCAGATTTTCTATGGGATTAAGGTCTGGAGACTGGCTAGGCCACTCCAGGACCTTAATGTGCTTCTTCTTGAGCCACTCCTTTGTTGCCTTGGCCATGTGTTTTGGGTCATTGTCATGCTGGAATACCCATCCACGACCCATCTTCAATGCCCTGGCTGAGGGAAGGAGATTCTCACCCAAGATTTGACGGTGCATGGCCCCATCCATCGTCCCTTTGATGCGGTGAAGTTGTCCTGTCCCCTTAGCAGAAAAACACCCCCAAAGCATAATGTTTCCACCTCCATGTTTGACGGTGGGGATGGTGTTCTTGGGGTCATAGGCAGCATTCCTCCTCCTCCGAACACGGCGAGTTGAGTTGATGCCAAAGAGCTCCATTTTGGTCTCATCTGACCACAACACTTTCACCCAGTTGTCCTCTGAATCATTCAGATGTTCATTGGCAAACTTCAGACGGGCATGTATATGTGCTTTCTTGAGCAGGGAGACCTTGCGGGCGCTGCAGGATTTCAGTCTTTCACGGCGTAGTGTATTACCAATTGTTTTCTTGTTGACTATGGTCCCAGCTGCCTTGAGATCATTGACAAGATACTCCCGTGTAGTTCTGGGCTGATTCCGCATCGTTGTCATGATCATTGCAACTCCACGAGGTGAGATCTTGCATGGAGCCCCAGGCCGAGGGAGATTGACAGTTCTTTTGTGTTTCTTCCATTTGCGAATAATCGCACCAACTGTTGTCACGTTCTCACCAAGCTGCTTGGCAATGGTCTTGTAGCCCATTCCAGCCTTGTGTAGGTCTACAATCTTGTCCCTGACATCCTTGGAGAGCTCTTTGGTCTTGGCAATGGTGGAGAGTTTGGAATCTGATTGATTGATTGATTGCTTATGTGGACAGGTGTCTTTTATACAAGTAACAAGCTGAGATTAGGAGCACTCCCTTTAAGAGTGTGCTCCTAATCTCAGCTCGTTACCTGTATAAAAGACACCTGGGAGCCAGAAATCTTTCTGATTGAGAGGGGGTCAAATTCTTATTTCCCTCATTAAAATGTAAATCAATTTATAACATTTTTGACATGCGTTTTTCCGGATATTTTTTTTATTCTGTCTCTCACTGTTCAAACAAACCTACCATTAAAATTATAGACTGATCATTTCTTTGTCAGTGGGCAAACGTACAAAATCATCAAGGGATCAAATACTTTTTTCCCTCACTGTACGTGGCGTTGTGTATACACGAGAGGGAGAAGGGTGTACCAGCGTAGGGTGTGTATTGTGCAAAGGATGCTCGATTTAATCAAAATAACTGCCTCCAACAATTTACGTCTCCAAGTCAGTCACTACATATGTATGTAAAAAAAATATTGAACTAAGTTCACTGATTGGTTGACTTGATAATATTTGACCGGGTGAGGCGAATCATACACCCCTGAAGTAAATCTATCATGCGGGTCCTAATTAGATTATAAATCATTG